GTGTAATGCCTTGCTGTTATAAATCGCACACGTCACACGCAAGGCTGCATTCTCAAGTCTTTGCCTGTACGTTTGAAATATGAAGTTCATGGGCCTTGATTTGCTATTTCTTTCAACTACCCTTCTGGCAAATGCCTAAATGTTTAATGTAGCGTTGAAGGAAAGATTTTTTTTCTTTAATAGCTTTTCATTTCAAATCCTCTTGGCTTAAGCATATTCACAAGAGCAAATGCTTCTAGACAGTCAATATTTCCTGAGAAAGAATGAAAGATTCTTGCATTTCTTTCAAAAACAAAACAAAGCAAAACCTGGGAACCCTTACATTTTCCCCACCAGAGTTATGTCTAACTGCTTACATGAGAGAGAGGCCTGGCAGGTTGGGAAGTCACATGGTGTAGTGAAAAAAACAAAAAAAGAATGGAGGGGTCTGCCTAGCTATTTGACAAGTTCTGTCTGGGCCTCTTAGATTAAGCTCTGAGGGCCACATTCCATGATCTCAGAGCCTCCCGCCAAGTCTCTGCAACACTCCTGGTTGAGGTTCTTGGGAGCACCTATTGCCTTAGAGTATTTGACTGATCTCTTGTATTCAGTCAAGGCATTCTGGGGAGGTCAGGACACTGTTTCAGAGCAGTGGCAGGCATCTTCTCTGGGCTGTCACGAGATAATGGATATACACTGGTGTTTTTCTGTGAAACTCTAGGTCTCCTATTTTGTTGTCCCTCTGCCACCATTTCTTATGAGTGACATTACATTAGAGAAGGGCACCTTTGAACAACCCTGTTGTCCCATGGCACGAATGATGCCAGAAGCCACTCCTTGATTTTTTTCTAGGCAACAGGATGCTCTATTTCCTAGTAGTAACCAACTTCAGATAGCTGTCACACAACAGGCTAAGTTTACTTGGATAATGAACTTTTTTGTTTGTTTGTGTTTGAGACAGGGTCTCTCTCTATAGCCCTAGTTATCCTCGAAGTCACAGAGATCAAGGTGTGCCCACACTCAGCTGCCAGAAGGAAGGAACTTCTAACCTTTCCTGCTCTGTAGCACGAATGTTAGAAGGTCTTGTTAATAAAACAAACCTGAGGCCAGTTATTGGGGTGAATGCTGGAAGATAAGAGAAGCAGAACAAGCCACAGCTTCCTCACCTCCCCAGTTCCTCAGCTGATCCTGTTTCCTCAGACTGGAAGCATCTGTGTCCTCATCCAAATGGGTCTCAGCTGAACTGCTGCTCAAAAACCTAAAAGCTTAACCAGCCAAATGCTTCTAGTTTCTTGTCTTCATGCCTTATATATCTTTTTGCTTTCTGCCATCACTCCCTGGGATTAAAGGCGTGTGTCACCATGCCAGGCTGTTTCCAATGTGGCCTTGAGCTCACAGAGATCCAGAGGGATTTCTGCCTCTGGAATGCTAGGATTAAAGGCGTGTGCTACCACTGCCTATCCTCTATGTTTAATATTGTGGCTGTCCTGTTCTCTGACCCCAGATAAGTTTATTAGCATGCACAATATTTTGGGGAACACAATACCACCACACTGCCCCACATTAGTTGGTGGGCTGATGATAAGATGATAAGCTTGTCAGCTGTCTCTAGGGTCCTGTTTGGACAATCGATCATTGCCTCAGTGTCTGCTACTGTGAGGAAATAACAAAGAAAAACAACCTGAAAGAGGTAGTGGTGACTGGACTAGTGGCACACGCCTTTAGTCCCAGCACTCGGGAGGCAGAGGCAGGAGGATCTCTGTGAGTTCGAGGCCAGCCTAGGCTACAGAGCGAGTTTCAGAGCAGCAAAGGCTACTTAGTGAGCCCCTGTCTCAAAAAAGAAAAAGAAAGGCTTCTGGCAACACAGGTGAGGCAGAGCATCATGTAGGAAGCACGTGGTAGAGCAGAGTGGCATACGTGAGGCCAGGAAGAATACAACAAGGATCTGAGGACAAAATCCACCTCGGTGAGCCAGTAAGATGGCTCAGTGGGTCAAGATGCCTGTTACCAAGCCTGACAACTCCAGTTCAATCCTTGGGATCCATATGATAGAAGGAGAGAATTGACTCCTGCAAGTTATCCTCCAGTTTACACACACACACACACACACACACACACACACACACACACACACACACACACACACTCACCAAAACTATATATGTATATATACACATATACTCCCTCTAGCGCACTGCCCACCCCAGCCAGTGACCTACTTCTTCAAACCATGCCCCATTTCCGTGTTCCATCATTTCCCAATTACCTCATCAAATGATGAATCTGTCAGCCGATTAGTCCATTGGTGAAGTCCGTCCTCATGGTCCAGTCACCTCCCAGCAGCACTACCCTCAACACAGGAGCCTTTTGGGAGATTGTTTATAATCTGTAACCATTATAGAAGCTGTGGCTCACATCTCACCCAGAAAATGCCTGTGAATGTGATCTATCTTTGTCAATAATGTCTACGGAGGAATAGCTGCTCTTTCATCTCCGTCACTGGGAGACAACCACTGCTGCAAACAATTCTAGGCAGAGGCTTATTTTTCTGCTCTAATATTAATTATGAATCCCTCTTGCCACCACTTGTAAAGGTGAGTGCTATTGCCAGATCAAACTGTAAGCTGGGTGTTGTGAAATAATCAGTACTAGAAACACATTAAAGGCCTCTATCCTTTCTCTCTCTCTCTCTCTCTCTCTCTCTCTCTCTCTCTCTCTCTCTCTCT